CTGATCATCTTGATTGGGCACTTGCAAGCCTTTTCTCAGGCTTTCCTATCCACGAGCTTATGTTTCAAATGGTAGCCACAATGTTTTTAGATCAGAAACAAGACTCGCAATGTAATGCTGTAGTTCACATGGGTTATCCAGCATTTCTGTGTCAGGGCAGAATTGCCACCTACTTGCTTTCAGGATTTAATAGAGGACTTTTCCACTAACCATTGTGAGTGGGATGTAGCTGGTATTTCAACAGCCTTGGCTGTTCAAAAATCCTAGTGCTGACATGATAAGCTACTAATTGTTCTTCCTGGGTCTGAAGTCTCAGCAATGTCTTCTTTTAAAGGCATTCATTTGACCTGCTCTGTCCCTACCAGCAATTCTCTGCCTGGCACATCCCAAAGTTGCCATCATCTTCCTATTACTGGTGGCTTTTCATAACCTTCTGATGACTAATTTACCCTGTTTGTTCTCCTCCTCTCTTATTTGCAGCTGAACGGTTGCCAGATCATAGCAGAAATTATTGAGATTAGCTCTGAAATGTGTGATATGGCACTTCAGACTATTTGTTAAAGATCATCCCATTTCTGTTGCTGCAACTGTAAGCAGGTCATGCCTAAAGGGGTTCCTACAATAACAACATCAAAAGTTTGATTTCAATCCAAAATATTGGATTCACGATAGATTTTTAGGTTATTTCTACTGAGATTTGTGTTTTTATGGAACACTGCAGTTGCAGACTGGAGAAAAAATGCTGCTCACATGACAAGGACTATATATTCCTTCCTCCATATCTCCAACAAAGAAACACAGAATCAACCACATGTTCTGCTATTTTAGTAACCACTTTGTAAATGGAGAGGATTTTAAAGAAGGACTGGGCACAGAGACTAGACTTTGAGTGCCTACAAATACCCAAATTAAATCAAGAATAAGCAAAACCATATTACTGAGGTTTTCAATTTTAAGGGCAGGTTTTCAGAAACTGAGGAAACTGAGGTTATTAGAGGGAGCCAGACTGAAGAGTTCAGAAATTTAAATGTAGTAAATGCCCAAAAGTCAAAAGCATGAAATGAACTCAAATCCTAAGCAAGAAGAAAAAATGTGTAAGAAAGGGCTCCTTACTTGAAAAGATGATCAGTCCTTTCAGTAAGTAAAGGAAGATTCTACAGGGAATGAAAGATAAAAGGGTGAGCAAAAAGAGCTACATTTGCAAGGACTGAAAGCCCTGATCTTCGAGATAAAGATTTTTTTTTTTCCCCAGATATGCCCTCAAGGAAAATATTCATCCCATACTTCTGGGCATCTTGCTTGTTCCTCCTTTCTCCACATTATTTCTGGAATTAACTTTTGTTTTCCTCTGAATCCTATCTTTAAAGGTGAAAGGGTGAAAATCTCTCTCTTTCCCCAAATTACGGTTCCTTCTAAAAAATGGAAGGCAAATTCCCTGTTTGATCCTTATTCTTTGTGGGAATCTTCTTGTCACTGCCTGAAATGTCTGCAAAACTTTCACATTAGAGGGAGAACCACCCTCACTAGCTCAATGTCCGAAGAATCAGAGGCAGGGAAAGCATACTGTCCACTCTTACTATACAGACTTTTTCCGACTCAGGGAAGCATATTCTTCTTCAAATATTCACACACACCTTACTAAAGCAGCATTTTTGTTACTGCATTCTCTACAGTGCTGCTAAAACATTGGATGGTTAGAAATCTGAGATTTCCCACAGAACACCATAACAAAGATGGGGCTATCTTTATCAGCCAGTCTAGTTAAATTGTTTGTCATTTTGGTTTGTCAATAAATGAAATGTTCTTGAAAAGATGAATGGGGAAACCAGAGTATTTGGAAATTCTGTTGCAGTAATGCAATCTGTTCTGAATTTTCACTGTGCAAAGATTGTCTTTTCCTTTGTCAGTGTTTGGGTCTCTATCATCAATTTAGGATAAAGAGAGTTTTGTCAGTGACCTAGCTGTGATTGTATGAATCTGGGCTATCCCCTTACAATAATTCTAATGTTTCTTTTTTATATATTTACAAAGACTGCAATTTTTCTGCTTGGCGCTCTGAAAACAGCACAAATTTTAAAGAGTGAGCTGGTTTCTACTCTGGGTCACAGAGTAGACCAGTTGCAGTCATAGGACAAAGTTTTGTAAAAAAATTCTGACTGCATACAATCTGTAACTAAGAGCAGAAAACAATTGAGGGCAGCCTTTGTCCTCACTCATCCTTTATTACTGATATTTAACTTCAATCATGTAATTTAGAGAGAAAATCTTGCTTAAGTGAAATGCTGTGCTTTCTTAGCTGTACATACTTTAAGAATGAATTGCTGTTTCAAAGTACCTCTCGCAATATGCCAGCAATGTTTTTTTTCTAAAGGATATAACCTTTAAAATCTTTCTTCTACTTCTTGTTCAGCACTTTTGACCATTCAACAGTCAGCTAGAATAGTGTTCTCTGCAAGGAGAAAATGTTTTTATGCCTTATCCTAATAGATGTATTTAATAGCAGTGAAGTAAGTAATACATCTCATACTCTCAGCTGAAGAAGTGCAGTTTTCTAGGGCATCAGGGAATACACTGTTAGGAAGCCAAGTGGAACCAGATTTTATACTGCTCATCTTTAGTCCATGCTTAAGACACAATTGTTTTTCATTTGACACAGAAAGGTATATTCTCTCTCCTTCCAGTTAAGGTCAAGAAAGATCAGCTGGCCAGTGCTAAAATAGGTATGCCAAAAACATAGGCAGGTGCAAATATTTTTTAATTAAAGGTCTATTTGGCTATTGCTCTTGATGCTCTGCTGTGTGTTTAATTAAGCCCCAAGCCTGCTAAGTCTGTGGCATTCTTCCCTGCAATGTTTACTATGCTGTTCAATAGAGAAGCTATCCCATACAGAGCTGTCTTATTTTCTACACAGTCTTCCTCATTTCTACATGTTGTTTCCACTGTTACTTAAATAGTATTTAAGAACACCTGGAAACCATTTGTCTTGATTCAACATTTGAATTTGGTGTGTTTAAAAAACAGTGAGGCAGATGAGGCTTTAGAAAAGAAGTGATTAGAGAAGTTGTCCCATTAAAATGTTCTAAAATTACCTGTTGCTGTTACAGTCTGAAAGGAAATAGTTCCTCTGTTGCCTCATTTAAGTATTTTTGGGCACCATTTTGCAAGATGCAGAGAACAAATGATATTATTTTTCATTACAATATTTTCACAATGTTAATGCAATTCTTATATGTGTAACTATGCTTGCTTTGGTGTTACTCTATATACATGTTTGATAAAATACTTGCACTGTCATTAAAAGTTTAACCCAGTACAAACTGTCCAGGCAAGTCCTAAATCAGGTGGAGAACAGACGTATACCTCTACCCCTCTGTACTGAAGATGAAGCTTGTGGATACGAAATTGCTTTCCACAAGAGTGTGGCCTTCCTCTGTTCTCAGCTGTTTGTTGGTCTCAAGTCTTATAACTACTGATATTTCTTTCTTGTGTGAAGGCAGAATCTTTTCCCTCTTTTATATTCTTTATAACATATATTGCTTATAAACATTTTTCTGTTTCTTATTTTAACTGACCTTACTAGGTACATGCTGCTTCTCTTACTAGATAATGGCATGGGACTGAAGACTTTGTCGCTCAGTGGTAGCACTTAGGCTAAACTGCTAAATAACCCTTTGGTTCCCAGCTCCCATGTTTCTTTACATCCAGGACAGAGGTAAAGGATTTGAACTCAATGAATGGCAAGACAGTTACAGGTGCACAGAATAATCTGAGTCAATTATAGTCACTGATATTACTTGGTTTAA